GTTGTATACCGACTTTAGAGCTGGGTGGGGATACCTATGGAGCCAGATTATTGGTCTTCCGCACTAAAAGGGGAGTGCCTGGGGTGAGGATCCCATTAAGGTATTCACAGTCGTGCAAAGACCCAACAGATGGCATTTTAGAGTGTTTGAATTGTTAACCTAATGAGGTAAAGGGAACTTGGTTGGAAATGAACTTGTCGAAAATGATTCACTACAAAGGTCTAGAATCACAATGTTCAGTGAAATGTTCACACCTGATTAATTGAAAATGTAAAACATTTTTTTTGGGGTGGGGGAGAATGTAGTGAGTCATTTTCTCCTCATTAATTTATGCCCGATAGATGACGTCAGTAATAGATGTAAGACGAATGTTTTGACTGGCTGAGATAACACGGGATTTATGTCTTGAGTTTCATGAGAGACATCTGAAAGTCAGGTTTTATGTGAAACATGATTGTTCACAGGATTTGTGTGAAATGTGAATTATCATGGGCCAGACACGACTTTCAACAGTGGGAAATTCGTGAGAATGAATCCAGAATATTCGAGAACAGGATAGATCAGAGGGCTATATAATAGCGAAGAAAAGGTTTGTGAGCAGTCTCGTTTTGGACCTAGGAACAGTGTGCATGGACAGCGGTGGATGATGTGTGGATTCAGCAGATGTTTTTGTGAGTGAATTTGTTCCAGTCCAACTTGGCGAAAAAAGCTGGCCAGTAATATGTCTGCGGGTCGTCTGAGTTTGTCTGTCAGGACAGCTGCTGTGTTTCGTTCAAGATGTTAGTGTGATTGTGATTTCTGCTTGAAGGTAATAGTTGACACTTGCATTATAATGTGTGCCTGGACAGTTGTCTAGTTCATGTGCCGGCAGTGTAAGCCGCGAGTGGAAGATTAAAGTACTGGAACAGTATCGTGTTGTTTTTCCAGTCGTCCATTTTTTCTGCTCGTCGAGTGATGTCGGTTTGTGAGATGGCAGCGAGCGTGCGATGAGGCGAGCCAGTAGAAGATAAAAGAGAATCATCGCCAACCACGTTAACTGATTTTTCTCATTGTGTAGAGATATGTTTGCAAAGACACTGCTTTACTCTGACCTGCCAATATACTACACATGGAATGCATCAGCTAAAAAGTTTCAACGTTGCAAGCAAGGTCAAGCGGTTGACGGACATCTTAATTTATATTCTACTTATATTTTAGGCCGTCTGTACACTGTTCATCCCAAAAATGCAGATTGCTTTTACTTGCGATTACTTTTAATCAACAAACGGGGACCGGCATCCTTCCAGGACTTGAGAACAGTTTATGGTAAAGTATGCGCTTCTTACCGTGAAGGTTGTCAAGAATTAAATCTTCTTGAAAATGATGCACATTGGGACACTTCACTCGCTGATGCTTCTAATACTGCTCGACCACAGCAAATACGCACATTATTTGCAATAATATTAACAACTTGCTTCCCATTCATTCCAAAAGAGCTTTGGGAAAAATACAAAGACTACATGAGTGAAGACATCCTGGCGTGAAATGAAGCATAATCAGGACCTTCAATTCATACCAAATGTATATAATGAGGCATTTGTTTGCATTGAGGACATATGTTTGACAATAACTAACAAAGCACTGGTTCAGGTGGGACTGGCTGTACAATCTGCAAACAACCTTTTCGATCGTGAGTTGCCATGAATCCAAACTTCTAAGACAAATTACCAGGCGGTGTGACAACGTATAAGTCTATCGATACTGTAATGAATCAGGACGAAATTGTTAATTATCCTACTGAGTTCTTAAATTCACTTGATTTGCCAGGCATGCCACCCCACATTTTAACCGTGAAAATTGGCGTGCCCATCATTCTTCTCAGAAACATCAATCCACCACGTCTTTGCAATGGTACCAGGCTTTCAGTGAAAAGGCTGATGCTCAATATCATAGAAGGTACAATTTTAAATGGGAAATTTAAGGGCGAGAATATACTTTTGCCACGCATCTTAATGATTCCAACAGACATGCCATTTGACTTCAGACGCTTGCAGTTTCCGGTGCGGCTCGCCTTTGCAATGACCATAAACAAATCACCGGGACAATCCCTACAAGTGTGTGGACTTCGTTTGGAACATCCATGCTTTTTACATGGACAGCTATATGTGGCCTGTTCACGCGTCGGAAAACCTTCTAATTTATTTGTGTACGCGCCAGACAGAATAACAAAGAACATTGTTTACCCAAAAGCACTTCAGTAAACACATTTTGAATGTTAAATTACAGGCACAATGATCCAATATCATTACATTTTGTTAAAGCGATTTTCCTTTCAATTCACTTTCTATTGTAGCAACGCGGGCAGGGTTGTTTACAGCAATTAGCAAATGTGCTCATTTCGTAATTATGGTGTATTTTTCCTCTTTTCATTGCTTTTCACTAGGGTAATTTTTCCAACTACTTCGATGAAGGAGAAAGTAGTATGTGAACTGGGGGATGGGTGGTTACAATAAACTGTTTACTGAGATAGATTTAAGTTACAGTAACTGCCTTACCCACTCAAAGTTTTATTAGCTGTGGTTTAGCTGTTGCACTGTACATCGCTAGCGTGAAGCGAAGACACATTTCTATGTTCTCTATTTTCCATGTAGCCAAATTACGCCACAGCAACGCGTGGCCGGGTCAGCTAATAATTTTATAAAATGCAGTTTTTGCCTGTCCTATTCTGTTTCTTATCTCAGTAATGCATTTTCCATCTTATGTTATCCATGTGCCCAGATGCTTAAATTTCTGTACTTGTCCCAAAATAACACCATTTACCTTTATTACATTTAGGAATAATTCTTTTCTTTGATAAGAATAATTCTTTTCTTTGTTACCAACATTATTTCTGTCTTTTAATTATTCAAACTGAAGCCCATTCTTCCACTTTCTAACATTTCAAGTAGTTCTTTCTGACTGGTTGCTATTATGACCTTAATCAGCATAAAATAAATTCTTTACATCATGCCCAACAGCCACAATTCCGGGCATATAAATTAAAGATCTCATTACATATTCACTGTATACGGAAAATAAATTAGGTGACAGTACACGTTCTTGTTGTACACCCCTCTTTATGCTTTGAAATGTACCTAAACGCCTGTTAATTCTTACAGCTGCTGTTTGCTGTCAATAAATATTCTTCATTATTTGTAAACCCTTTTCATCAATATTTACTTTTTCTGACAGCTCAATTACTTATTCAAGTTTCACACAGTTAAATGCTTCTGTATAGTCTATGAAGCGTAAGTACAAATCAGTCTTTACTTCTATACCTCTTTCTGACAATGTCCTTAGGATGTATATAGCATTGTTTGTACTTTTTCCTTCTACAAATCCACATTGTTCACCGCTGATTTCTGGTTTAATTTTGTTTCTTATTCTTCTCATAATTATTCTCAGTAACATCTTAGTCATGTGACTCATAAGACTTATTGTACGATGGTCTTCACAATTTAAAGTGCCTGGTTTCTTTGGCAGAGCTATAAAATGGATTTTAAAATGTCATTTGGAATGTACCCACTTTTATAAATATCATTTAAAAGTTTTGTTATTATTTCAATTCCAAAATCTCCCAGTGCTTTGATTTCTTCCAGTGAGATGTTGTCTGGCCCGGATGCTTTTGCTTTCTTCATATGATGTAATGCATCCTCAACTTCTGCAGTCATTATTGATGGACCATCATTGTTGGCCTGCAATTCTACATTTGGACTATTATCATCATACAATTCCCCTATATATTTTGTCCATCTGTTAATTATATTACTATGTCCCATTAATAAGTCGCTATCTTTTTTATTTTAAACATCCAGTGCTGTTACATGTCAACTTTCCTGTTAACATATTTATCTGTTATATCACTATATTTTTAGTTAGATAATTGTGTATCCTTTACAGGATGCTGCAGAACCAATCCCAGAATTTTTTCACTGTTGTGGTTTTTTCTTGGGAAATTTACATCCAGTAGTTTGCCATTGCTTTCTGGACAGTCAGCTTCTCGATACCACTGTTAAAACCAACGCAAGACCCGCAGCTGGGATCGAACCTGTCACCCTGCCATTACAAAGCTCGTTCGCAAAGCTTAAGCCACAGACGCCGACATATCACCATATAGGTAGATTTAACAAATCAACCTAGCTGCTAGGACAACCCAGCCTAACAGAGAATGTGTTAAGGAAGTATAGACAGCCGCCATGCTATTGCTCGCATCACCCAGTGAGTGCAGACTTGCTTACAAAACTATAAATCTAGCATCCTCTACCAGATGCCCAAAACATCTTTTCTTCTGGTTGGCCAGATGTAAACTCTAGCCGAAAGAAGTCCCGGTCGTCTGTCTACTTCTAGTTTTTGGTATTGTTCCAGAACTTGAGCTTTTCATGCACATCTGTTTTACAAATCTGACTTGTCTGTGTGCCAGTTGTTGGTTCCTTGCCTCTCAGACAGATGCACTCCAACTTTAACAACATTCTTGTTGGGGGGACAGTGGGTCTATTCTTTTAACCCCAGAATGAAACCCCAGAATGAAGCCCCAGAATGAAACCCCAGAATGAAGCCCCAGAACTCATATAGGAAAATCCAAAGGGTAAAAAGCATACTTTACTTAATTTTTTTATGAAAAAGAGCATTTAGAATTGAGAGTACTGACTTCACAGCTTCAAGATTTATTCAAGTGGCTCACTCTCTGTGGTTCTGATATATTCCGGTACATTTGGATCCTTGCTGTGGATACAGAGTTTTTTGCATTTCTCTGTGGGAGACTGCAGCACTTACAAAAATGACTGTCAGCAACAAAAGTGACCCCCCCCCCCCCCCCCCCCCCTACCTCCCACCCCGGCGCCACAGACACACAATCTAACAATGACAACATCTGAATTCTTTACCAAACATGTAAACGGTAATAAATGTGAAAAGACTCATTTAAAATTAGCACAGGATTCAGGGACAACAAGCTGATAGACTGCACAAAAACAATGGTTTACCTTCACTACTTCCTCTAAGCTTACAAATTTAATGCCCAGTTTTTCAGCCTCTTCTTTGGACATCTGAAAATTGTTATCAATGCAGAAAATATTAGAATTAAAATCCTTAGCTAGTGTTAGTTAGTGAGTGCAAGAGTATATCCCCCCAGACTTTAGCTTTATTTTAATATTCCTATACTTTAACACTGAGTGGAAGGATGGCCTGAGCTGAAACTTCTATAATTAGCAGCTGCAACATGTATTTTTGAATAAGATACTTTCTGTACCCACAAACTGACAGAATGCATGCTGCAGATGCTTACAGATCAGGAAATCAATGTTATGTCTATCTGCCTGTCGAAGCTTCTCTCATAGATCAACTGCCAACCAGGGCTATGGACTCCCATCTTCTGTGCCCCAACCGTTTCAAGTTTAATTTCCTAATCCTATAGGGTTTGTTGCTTTCCCTATGCACTTCTCCGTACGACGTCGCAGGAACAATATGGAATGACAGGTTTGGCTACGGCATCCAACATTCTCTGTTAACAGAGACACTATTACTAATACCAACTACTGTTTAATGGAAGCTCAGCCAAACCGGTCTCATAGACCACACATTAGTTTCCAGGTCATTACGGGAAGGGGGGGGGGGGGGCATGCAGTGTCTTCTTCTGCACTCGCACTTGAAAGGGCAGTGGGTACATTTCGCTGTGGTTGGTTTAGTTTGGCCGCAATATCTTCACCTTTCAGTCCAACAAAATTGATTTGAGAAAACTCTTAATTAGTCGCCTTTTATAAAATCTTGACAGAGAAAGTGGGTCAAACTGGGACCCTGGAACTAACATAAGAATAAAAAAGCTTGAAACTTATCATTACAGAATCCATAACACGCAAAAATGACTTTGTACCTTCATTCCCTGACGGAACTGGTATCGAATTCCCGTAAACTCCTTCAAGAAAAAAGATCCGCCAGCAACTAGAACCTAGAATAAAAACAAACAACGGTAAATTCGTGACTAAATTTAAGATTAAACTGATATCTTCCAGATTTTTTTGTGGAAAATTTAAGCTAAACCTAAATCTGCGAATATCTGTAATACACAGTCCGACAATTAAATAATGTGACAGATTTTATTATGGTCACAAGAAAAAAGCCATCCATGAAGCAAAGCATGTCATCCAAACAGCTACCATTTATCAATGATCTGGCAAAACTGTAACACCACTCGACCAAGCAGACAACAAGTAGCCCACTATTTTGTTTAGCTAGTGTAAGATGTGCCATCACACATGCAGCATGGAGCCAAGGGTAAATATTAATTATGTTCAAACTCGGAAAAGTGCTCTTGAGACAGTTCAACTGATAAGATAATTATATGCAGATCAATGTTTATCAATTTCAACATCAGTTTCCTTTGCCACCAACCTAACAGTCAGACAATGTTCTTTGTGTATCCAGTCTCAGACTATGGCAATGTGTTTATCATTACAAATAAAATGCAGACGTCCCAGCCTCACTTCATCTTCATTCTTTTCCATAGTAGTTATGAATCATGTGGGTTCCGGTCCCCACTACAGGGGGATAAAAAAGAATAGACTCACAATACCCTAACAAGTATGTCAAAAAAGTCAAATGATTAGAAATATTTCCTTTGAAATTGAAGTGCATTTGCCTGAGATGAGGAACCAACAGTCTGCAAACAAAAAAAACCAGATCTATAAAATAAATGTGCATGCAAAGCTCAGGTTCTGGAACAAGATTAAAGGCCACTGCCAAAGTCTGTCTGATAAATGTCTGTCCAATGAACCAACCGTTCATTTGTCACTCTGGTCTTGCAGGTAGGCGCATAATTTGCTACTCAGGCTATGATGTTATATATATATATATATATATATAAAACACCATAGCCTCAGCAACCCTTGCAAAACCACCATTTTGTCTTGCCTGATAAGCTCCTCAGGAGAAAGTCTGAGGTCTGGGAGTCATGAACCCAGGCCGGCCCACCCCTCGAGATTGTCTAGGACGGATGAAGAAGCAGAAACAATTAACAGGGGACCTGCCTACTAAAGATCGGTAGATCTCCTGCTGTATATACTCCCGTTGTGGAGTTTTTATTGTATGTGGCTAGTCCACAAGACAACTAGGACAGGCCGGTGACACCCTTTAGTGCTGGGGTGTAAACTGGCCCTCTGGCAACAGAAGGTCGACTGCAGATCCGGCTGATCCCTCTTAATCAAGTACAATAAATGGATTTCTACAACTATTAATAAAATATGCCCTCAGGGTCCTCCGAAAGGAGAATGAAGGACACACTTTGATTGATACTAACGTTGCTGATCCTGCTAGCCTCTGGACAGTGCTTGTTGCCAAACAACCAGGCTGGCTTTGTACTTGTGGGAGAAGCTCCATGGGTCTAAGAACACATGCCAGAGGAATGAGATGAAATGGATCACCACTTAGTGGTCACCAGCACAAAGTTACTTCAGTAGCTCGAGTCGTCAGGGTGCAATAGGCAGAGTTTACCCCAAAGCATATACACAGATGGGACAAGAAATGAGCCTCTCAATGACAGACAGCAGTTAATCAGTGGCCTGAAGGCAACATTTAAGACATTACACCCCCCCCCCCCCCCTCCTTTTTGACTGAGGTCACACAAGTTGTGAAAACAGCCAGCAGAAAATCTGCCCCAGGACCCAACAGTGTCCTGTGTGTGGTGTACAAACGCTGTCCAAAGTCCTCCGAAAGCTTCACTGCTTGCTAAGGTTAGCGTGGAGCCCAAAGTATATATGTAATGAATGGCAGAAAGCCGATGGAGTATACATTTCCAAGGAGTGGGACTCCTCTAATCTATCCCAGTTCAGAGCAATCTTGATATTGAACGTTGAGGGCAAGATATTCTTCTCGTTTATGGCACGCAGACTTGCGCAGTATTTGATGCAGAAAGAATACACTGACACATCAGTGCAGAAAGGTGGCATCTCGGGCGTCCCTGGGTCTCTTGAGCATGCGTTCATGATCTTGGAGTCTATTCAGAGAGCTAAGGCAGAGAGAACTGAATTGCATGTGATATGGTTGGACCTTGCCAACGCCTACGGGCCGGTATCCCATAAGCTTCTGTGGCAGGCCCTTCGTATGTTTCACGTACTAACACAGATCATCACGACGATCGAGCAGTATTTTTCAAAGTTCACCATACGCTTCTCTACCCCTACGTTCACTCTGAGGCGGACTGAGCTGCAAGTTGAGATAGCGTACATTTCTCAGGTACTGTTTGTGTGGCCTTGCAGGTTACATTAGATGGGGTTTCAGGCAAGGCCTTAAAATTGGGGAATCACTGGATGCCACCACTGAGAGCATTTATAGATGATATGATTACCGTAACGGGCAGTGAAGATGACGCATGCCTGATTCTAAAGAGGCTGGATTGTGTGATTGAATGGTGCAACATACAATTCAATCCACAGAAATCCATAAGTCTGTCAGTCCGTAGAGGTGAGGTGGCGGCGACCAGGTTCATGGTTGCAAACCAAATGATCCCCATGGCTCTAGAGGAACCTGCAAAGAGTCTCGGCCGTGTTTTCAATTCAAAGCTATCTGTAAGTCAGGCAACTTGATCAAGCAATGCAGGCTGATCAGGAAGATAATAGTGTCTCCAATTGTTTATTCCAAAGTTCCTCTGGCCGCTGATAGTGTAAAAAGTTAGCGCCAGTGCAGTATAAGCAATGCAGAGGAAAATCAACACCGCCATGAGGCCATGTCTAACTGATGTGGCCATGTAAAATAAGTAAGCAAAGCAGGTACTTCCTTTCAAGTCGATATCTAAATTTAAAGTTGGCAAGGCCAGACTCACTATGATATTGCACAAGTCTGCAGACCTATAGTGGCAGCTCTTCAGTCGGCTTTAAACACACAAACAAAATTGAAGGTAGAAATTGCGATAGAATCTGCTCAGAATGCACTAACACTGCGAGGTCATGGGTTTAATGCAAACCCACTGATGCAGCTTAGGGCCAGGAAAGGTCACATGGTGGTCAAAAGCCTCAGCCAAAGAGCGTAGAGACATGGTAACACAGCAGATCAGGGACTCCAAGAAATGAGCAACGGGCCAAAAAGCAGCCCAGCAGTCGCAGCAAGGCCAGTGGATTAGCCTTGAGAGTACCTTGTCATGAGAACTCACAAATGAAGCCATGCGCATTATTTTGGGATGTACAAGAGACACATCCTGTGGAGCAATGAGGTATCTACTTGACTTTCCAACAATGAACCAAAGGATCAGGATGTGGAGGGCTCAGGCATACCTTAAAATATGTGCTGATAAGAAACACCCACTGCATCAAGTGCTTTTTAGTGAAAAGGGCGACAGACTGAAGAGGGGAAAATCGTGGCTAGGTCGGGCAGAAGATGTTATTAGGCAAATATGCAGCCTAACCGACATCATACCTGGTGCAGAATGGATACCTGTGCCTCAGGCGTTTATTTGTACAGTTTCCTGTATTGTCACACTCAACAGACGATGTAGAGAAGAGAATCCTGTTGCTGTTAATGCAGAAGTCAACGCTCTTATCAGTGAAAATTCAGACGAAGCAGATGCACTAATCTATACAAACGGATCCGTTATACGCCAAAAAAGAAGCGCATGGGCATTCACAGCACCCTCAGCGGGCAGAACAGTCAAAGAAGCCAATGGCGCCTTCTCCATGACAACCAGCAGCATGACAATGGAGGTGATGGCAGTGATGCAAGCGTTTGCCTGAAACACAAAAATATACCCGCGTATGTATACTCACTGATTCAATGAGTATGATCCGGAGAGTTCAGGCAGGTTCAGTGCGATGACAATGGCTTGAATCATTAAAGGTCCACTGTGCATGGAGTCACCTTTATTTTTGTTCCGGGACACGCAGGCGTCGATGGAAATGAAAAAGCTGACAGGTTGGCTGGATCCGCTATCACTACCGACGGTCAGCCTATGGATCATGCTGATATTATCAATGCCCTCAGAGAAATGGGAAGGATAGAGGACTTTGGTGGCAATGAATCCACATCACTCGCCAGAATGGCAGACTTGGGAATTAAGATCGGCATAGCAAAAAACGAGACCCACACCAGACACGCCAGAGGACTTGTTAATCAACATAGAACTGGTACTATTAGCCATCGGACGTTGGGGTTCATACTGAGCGGAGGATCTGAGCACCTATGGACATGTCCGGAAATCAATGATGATAACCCGACTAACTAACTAACTAACTCACATGGGGTGAGATCTAGCGAATGGCACCACTGTGGATGAGCTTTGTCATTCAATCTGCTTACGATGTGTTACCTTCCGGCGCTAACATGGTCAAATGGCATGCCAACAACAACCTGACATGCCCCTTATGCACAGCTAAGCAGATGCTCAAGCAGAAAAGCCCTAGGTCAGGGACAATATCATGGTGCCAGAATAAAGTGCTGAAAGAGTTAACGAACACTGTGGACAAAGCGAGGATGAGGGTTAACGCAAAGGCCAGTCCTAACGTCCCTCTCATGAGCTTCCTCTAAGCTGGGCAGATATCTAAAGGTACTTTCAATGAAGTCACATATGCTCCATCGGCTATCCTCCAAATAACGGTCCCAAATTATCGAGGCTTAAAATATACCCTAACAAGGCCTCAGTCACATATAAATTGCTGACTTCCAGCGACTACCGCCACTGCCGAGAGTATCTCCGGCGCCGCTAAGCGCGGCACGGAGCTAAACTAGATGGCTGGGACCTACGAGCAAATAAAATGAAGGAAGCTGCAGGAGATGCAGTAGTTGCTGCACGTGAGTCCCAGCCATCTAGTTTAGCACTGCTTTGTGCCGCCCGTAGTAGTGCGAGAGATACTCTCAGCGGTGGTGTTAGTAGCTGGAAATCTACAATTTAAGTCGCCCGAAGTCTGCAATTTACATGTGACTGAGGCCCTGTCAGGGTATATTTTCGGCCTCGATAGTTTGGGACCGTTTTTTGGAGGATAGCCGCTCCATCTATACTCAACTGTGCGAGGGACTGGCAGGTGACTTGTCTGGTTTTCAAAAATATCCCAAACCAATTTGAAAGACTGTCCTGAGACCAGACATGAACTGAAGAGAACCACCTGTATAATTTTGAGAAATACATGGAACTGGTGGCCAGTCTTAGGAGCAACAAGGGGTACGCAGTAAAACTCTTCACCATCGAGGTAGGTGCAAATGGTCTAATCTCCACCCCTACATTGTCACATACAATGTCTTAAAGCAGCTGGGCATGCAAGAAAACGAGCTTAAACGGGCGCTAAAACAACTAGGTGAAGCAGTGGAAACAGCTTCAAGGCAGCTGTGGACACAACGAACGACGCAGGGGACAGACCTCGACAGAGTGGTCTGAGCTCCTAGTGGAAAAGAGCTTTTACATCCCTAAAAACCAAAGTGTCCAATCAACCTCTGTCCATGTTACTCAGCCAACTGCTAAAATCTGTCCGATGAACCAACCGCCATTTGTCACTCTGGTCATGAAGGTAGGTGCACAATTTGCTACCGCAGCGACTATAAATATATACATATAACACCATAACCTCAGCACCCATTGCAAAAACCACTATTTGGGCTTGTCTGATAAGCGCAGCAGGAGAAAGTCAGAGGTCTGGGAGTCATAAACCCAGGCCGGCCCACCCCTCAAGATTGTCTAGGAGGGATAAATGGGTTGAAATAATTGTTAACAGGGGACCCGCCTACTAAAGATCAGTAGATCTCCGTCTGTGCATGCTCCCACTGTAGAGTTCTTCTTATTATATAGAAGTGGATGAAAAACCATAAATTTCTGCTGGAGTCTACAGCTAGTCAATGTGAAGAAGATTTTTTGTTTCAATGTTTTATGACCTATTCTTCTGTATATCCACATCTCCAGAAACTCAATTTAATTTTCTAGCTATGTGTTTATTGTTCAGGTTCTGCACCATATGCTGTGATACCACTGCTAGCTTGAGGGTGTTGGTGAGGTCTCAATCTCTTCCATGATGGCTAACTGTGTTCTCTATCCTGTCCCTAAGGTATCGCATGTGTGCCACACCATATACTCTTTTAAAAGATATTTGTGCCACTTCACTCAGGCAGTTTAGTCAGTCAATCATGACTCGCCTGTGGCAGGCAACCGCCAAACAAAATCTGTATCCCTGAAGCCATACAAGTTGAGTGTTAAATTAAGAAGCGACCTCATAGCACTCAGGATACTCCCATAAGCACTCCATCCCCATCTTCAGCAGCAAGCAAAGAGTTCCAATTCCGACGGTACTAGTTACTGTCTGATTGAAGCCATATATGAGTTATATATAAAGAGATAGGAGTCAAAGGATCCTGCACTGTCTGTTGGAAACTATCCCTTTCTCTTTACCCTGCACCACATGAGGGCTATTAGACAGCAATGGTTGGGGCAAACAGAAAGAATGGCTGATAAACATAAATTGTGTACATAAAAGAAATGAATGGCAGTAGATCATGGGGTAGAACAAGATGACAAATGGAGATTCCATACATGCAGATCTATCAATATTTTGAGTCACCAACTTAATAAATGCAATATTTGTGCTATTAATGCCAGACATACACAGCCCAAGAAAAACATGAATGCAAAATTACAACCTGGGAGATGCGATGTATAAGAAATGCGGCTGGAAAAACAAGAAATCAAGAAAAGACAGTCATCAATGAAAAAACAATAGAGGCGGCTGTGATTACATGAATGAAGTGACTAAAATTCGAACTCAATTAAGAAGAACCGACAACCTTGGGCAGACTGCTAGTTAGTTAGTTAGTTAGTTAGTTGGATTATCCTCATTGCACTCCGGACATGTCCATAGGTGCTCAGATCCTCCCCTCAGTATGAACCCCAACGTCCGATGGCTAATAGTACCAGTTCTATGTTGATTAACAAGTCTTCTGGCGTAGGTGTGGGTCTCGTTTTTTGCTGTGCCGATCTTAATTCCCAAGTCTGCCATTCTGGTGAGTGATGTGGATTCACTGCCACCAAAGTCGTCTATCCTTCCCATTTCTCTGAGGGCAGTGATAATATCAGCATGATCCATAGGCTGACCGTCGGTAGTGATAGCGGATCCAGCCAACCTGTCAGCTCTTTCATTTCCATCGACGCCTGCGTGTCCCGGAACAAAAATAAAGGTGACTCCACGGACAGTGGACTTCTGTAATGATTCAAGCCATTGTCTTCGCACTGAACCTGCCTGAACCCTCCGGATCATACTCATTGAATCACTGAGTATACACACGCGGGTGTATTTTTGTGTTTCAAGCCAGGCAAGCGCTTGTGTCACTGCCATCACCTCCATCGTCATGCTGCTGGTTGTCATGGAGAAGGCGCCGTTGGCTTCTTTGACTGTTCTGCCCGCTGAGCGTGCTGTAAATGCCCATGCGCTTCTTCTTTGGCGTATAACGGATCCGTCTGTATAGATTATTGCATCTGCTTCGTCTGAATTTTCACCGATGAGAGCGTTGACCTCTGCATTAACTGCAAGATCATCAAAGGGGGTGACCCCATACTAGAGCGACATGCGGTGAATTAAGGAACAATAATAAACCCAGAACTGGACATCATTCCTCGCCACACATGACAAGGGAAATAGTGATAATTCTTTTTTCTTGGGGGGGGGGGGGGGGGGGGGGGGGGGGGGGGGGGGGGTATAGTCTGAGAACTTATCAGCTTACTTACTTACCGCCAGTCACTGTAAGGACCGGTTCGATTTATGGGCTCTCCTTTGAACTTACCCCCAAAATGGCAGCCGTATTATGATGCCATCCGAAAGAGAGCTAAATTGGCCAATTTCAGCCATGAAATATCCAAAAATATCCGAATGGGGCTCAGTTCTATTAAAAAATATATCTGCCGGCTCCGCATAACCAAACAAATGCTCTAACAGGGTCTCGGCAATACGTTACTTGCGGACCTGCTTCTGCAAGTGAGCCTTACCGCCGACAGTATCCCTCACGCCGCTACATGCGGCGCGGATGGGGACTAAACTAGATGGCTGGGACTCACGAGCAGCAGCTACCGCATCTCCTACAACTTCCTCCAATTACTTTACTCGTGAGTCCCAGGCACCTAGCTTAGGGGGATACGCTCGACGATGAGTTTATTCCCGTTTGGCGCATGCCGACAAGTCTGACATTTACCGCTGCTAAATCCTCCAATTGGAAGAACACAGTATTGCTAATCGGCTTTCATCGTCTTTAATGTTTCGAAAGTGGTCAACGGTAGCTAATATTGTCTGCTAGTATCGTCTGCAGAAACGCTCAAAATTTTTGTCAACGGTCGGTATTTATCGTCTGCTACTACTACCGTGTGCAATGTTGATATTGATTGTCAAGTAATCCTAGTTTTGCCGAGATTTGTTTCTTGGCAGAAAGTCCGTATTTTAGATATACGTGAACACCGTCGTTCGGATATTTTTGGATATTTTATGGCCAGAATGTGGCATAATATTATGGCCGCCATTTTGGGGGTAAGTTCAAAGGAGAGCCGATTTATGTGCTTCTGAAGTTACATAGAGTTTAGTAATTAATCCGATTCTGAAAGATGCTAACACTTGGATAATAATACTGTTATTAAATTCTAAATTTTACAACTTGAAATATGAATGATGAAAATATCAACTAACTATAAAAGGAAGACCCGTTTTTAGGAATCTCCGTTTCATAATTTGTGCCCATATCGCCTTCAAGGACTGCGCCATTTTAGTGTCTAGCAGTATAAAACCAAAGCCAATTGTTTACACTACCAAAAAAAAATTGCTTAGATCGGTGTTTATCAACCTGGGGTGTGCTCCCCTAGTTTGGGGAAGGCGGGTTTTAAGAGGGCGTAAAGTCATTTTTAAATTGAGTGCATTTGTTCTTGTAATAGTCTCTTGTATAACATTGGCTTGTCCGTTTAATTATAAATAAATACTAAAACAAACAGCCAAGGAAAGGCAGTAATTCGCATATGCTGGGGGGACAGTAATTCGCATACACACACATGCTAACAATGAACAAAAACTTATTCACACATGCTGAAAAAACAGTAATTCACAAATGCAGTGAACAGTGATTCATACATACAGTCAACAGTAATCTATACATGCTGGAAAGACAGTAATTCACTCAATACATGCCATCAAGACAGTAATTTATAACTCCGTAAAGAAGTAACGCATCATCATCAGGTGCCTTGCCGACTGGCGAGGGCGATCATGACTCTCCACAATTTGCAATCTCGTGCAGCATGTATCAGTTCTTGTGCCGACACACCTCCATACCATGCAACAAGACTGTCAAGCATCTACCCTCGTTGTCTTCCTCTATCCCTTCTTCCACAGATCTTTCCAGTGGTCACAACATGTTCTATTCTCCCTCTTCTCATCACATGGCCAAAAAATGATGACTATCTCCTTCTGATGTCTGTGATAAGTTGCCTTCGGGCTCCCGCCTCTTTCAAAACCTCTTGGTTGCATATTTTGGCTGTCCAGTGTATTCTAAGCATTCTTCTGTAAAACCACATCTCTGAGGCCTCAAGAAATTGTTTGGCCTGCTTATCGATTCTCCAGGATTCGCAGCCATATATTAAAACCGGATGTATGTAGCAAGCAAGAATTATTTTTCTCACTCTCAATGACAAGGATATATTGCACAAGATGTTTTCCATTTGATAAAATGCAGTTTTTGCCTGTCTTATTCTGTTTCTTATCTCGGTAATGCGTCTTCCATCTGATGTTATCCATGTACCCAGATACTTACATTTCTGTACTTGTCCCAAAATAACACCATCGACTTTTATTACACATTTAGGAATAATTCGTTTCTTTCATACCACATTTACTTCTGTCTTCCCATTATTCAAACTGAGGCCCATTCCTCCACTTTTTAACGTCTTAAAGACAGTAATTCACACATGCTCTAAAGATAGTAATTCCCACATGCGGTAAAGACAGAAATTTATAAGTGCGATAAAGACAGCAAATCATACATGCGGTAAATATAGCAATTCAAACATGCAACAAATACAGTAATTCATGCATGCAATAAACACAGTAATTCACGCATGCAGAAAGGGGGGAAAGGTGGAATAGGAGAAGACTGAGGAGAATAAGAAGGAGCAGAAGAGGAAGAAAAGGAAAAAGTCATATGTGTGGAAAGTAAAGACGGCCGGTGTTGTTATCGACCACTGCATTGACCATTGAATGCTGAGTGGTCATAAGACAAACGGGAGTGGAGGGATGTTGTTTGGGGGAGGGGGGTCGACAGGTGAATACACAAGGAAAGATAAGGACAGCTGCAAGAGTGGCACGGAATAGGATGATGTGGCAATAATTACGTGATTGTCTACGCCCCGTTGGCATATAAGAGCATAACAATCTTGAGAAGAATAACTAACTGTTCATGGAGATCCGCAGTTAAACTTACTAACAAGTGTTTAATCTTGAGAAGAATGGCTGTGCTAGGAGGTCCGCAACTAAACTTATAATCAAGTTACTGACTCAAGCTCGTTGGTGTTGTGAACCAAGGTTGGTTGCACCCAGCGAGTTATATATTTAAAGCGAATTACGAAGTTAATATGGAAGCTTTCGAATCCGAATATGTTGACGATGAGCAGCTGATTTTTATGTATCTGTCGACACGTAAACTATTGCCCGGCAACTCACGGGCGAGTTTTATAGAAAACGACAGCGGCTACCATTTAGCCACGAAGGATGCAGCTACGCAGACTGACGATTTCAAAATTAATATACAGAACGGACAGTCCAGTGACGCCCTAGCTCTTCAACCAGCAGAAGAAAATAATAGAAGATGCATTGCAATTGGAAACATCTTCTATTGAGCCGGCTCTGGTTTCATCTTAAATGATACAGAAACATCAGACGTTGCTGATGAAGAAGCTGCCAACCCTGCTCTGCTAAGGCAGCGGTGGATTGATGACATCGTAGTCGCCATTCATGATAGGCGGCCGAAAGTCTTGGAGCTCTTCACAAGTCCCATGTCTCTTCAGACGCTCAGCCTAAATGCTTTTTTTTTTTTTTCAAGTATTTTGGGCATCCATCAACAGATTTTACTGAGCGTGTGGCGACGCCAGAGCTGGCGAAACCCAGAAGTAAGCGAAGATCTGTTTTTCGCTGGGCGTCAAAGCGGAGAAAAGCGGCAGCCGAAGGGGGCAAGACATCACCGACCCAGAGAGTTTTTAAAAGGAGTAGAAAATTATAGGGAAGAGAAAAAGTTAGTGAGAAACAACAAATAGTTTATGTTAGCTTTACAAAATCGATCACAATAAACAAACAAAGGACGTTGCGGCGATTAGCCTTCATCAGCACATAAAGGACAACATAGCACACATACACAAATATGCTCTAACTATGAAATGACTACATAGGACTCTAACGTATAAAATAAATGATACTCATCTGTGTCCCTGGCGAAAAAACTTTTACAATGAAATGACGGTTCAGCCTATATATCTCCAACGCGCAGGTGGGGGAAAGAAAAGGGGCGGATTAGACGCCAACAGCGTACACTGAGTGTCTAAGGAGGGAGGGAGGAGTTGGCCTATAGGGCGTAACCGGGGTTGGGTTGTGGGGATGACATTAGTCCATCCGCATGGAATAAAAGTGGTGCCTGTGCTTGCAAACAAATATCAGCAGACAGACAGACAGACAGGCAGGCAGACAGACAGATAGACAGACAGACAGAACGAACGAACAAACTTTATTTTCAAAGGGTTACAAATTGGGCACGCAGATAGACAGACAGACAGACCGACAGACCGACAGACAGACAGATAGATAGATAGATAGATAGATAGATAGATAGATAGATAGATAGATAGATAGATAGATAGATAGATAGATAGATAGATAGATAGATAGATAGATAGATAGATAGATAGATAGATAGATAGATAGATAGATAGATAGATAGATAGATAGATAGATAGATAGATAGATAGATAGATAGATAGATAGATAGATAGATAGATAGATAGATAGATAGATAGATAGATAGATAGATAGATAGATAGATAGATAGATAGATAGATAGATAGATAGATAGATAGATAGATAGATAGATAGATAGATAGATAGATCGATAGATAGATCGATAGATAGATAGATAGATAGATAGATAGATAGATAGATAGATAGATCGATCGATCGATAGATCGATCGATAGATCGATCGATAGATCGATAGATAGATAGATAGATAGATAGATAGATAGATAGATAGATAGATAGATAGATAGATAGATAGATAGATAGATAGATAGATAGATAGATAGATAGATAGATAGATAGATAGATAGATAGATAGATAGATAGATAGATAGATAGATAGATAGATAGATAGATAGATAGATAGATAGATAGATAGATAGATAGATAGATAGATAGATAGATAGATAGATGGATGGATGGGGTGGGTGGGTGGGTAGGTAGGTAGGTAGGTAGATAGGTAGGTAGGTAGATTAGATCGTGGATGGTGGGGTGAATGGATGTGTGGGTAGCGCAATTGATGCTCGGGTAGACAAATAGACGTAATGATGGCTATACTCGTGGATGGATGGATCGGCTGATATATGAAATCAGCTAAAGACAAGGGTCTCAAGACACGATACTTCTCACTTACTGTCAGCTATAAAATTGAGACAGTAAGGGTGATTGTTATACAAAGTATCAGTCGAACCGAGCGCAGAACTGGTTAAAAAACAGAATGTAAGGGAGCCAAGGAAAAATAGCTAGGGTGGATGGTGAGGTGAGTGGGCGAGTAGGTGGTGATATAGATGGGTGGGTAGATGAGTGGATGGGTAAAGGATGGCTATATTGGTGGATGAATGGAATGGCTCGTATATAGAATCTGGTAAAAATAGGGGTCACGTGATAAGATGCTTCTCTCTTACTGTCAGCTATCAAATAGAGACAGTAAGGATGCTTGTTATACAAAAGTAATCAGTCGAGCCCGAGAGTAAGATTGGTAACAGCCATAATGTAAGGGAGCGATGAAGGGATAGTTGGGGAAACAGCATGTGTGGATGGTGGAGTGAACGGGTGAGTGTGTCCTGGATAGATGGGTGGGTAGATGAAGGGATAGAATGATGGATGACTGTATTAGTGGATGAATGGAATGGTAGATGGATGGATGGATCGACCAAATATGAGATAAGGTAAAAACATGAGTCTAGTAACACAGTGCTTCTCTCTTACTGTCGGCTATCAAATAGAGACAATAAGGATGATTTTTACACAAAGTATTAGTCGAGCCCAAGTGCAAAGCTGGTAACAGCCAGAATGGAAGGAAGCGGTGAAAATAGCATTGAGTGGATGGTGGGATAAATGGTGTGGGGTAGATGAATGGGCGGGACGATGGTTACGTTCGTAGATAGATGCAATGGTAGATGGATGGATGGATCTGCTTATATGTATGCTAATATATTTAAACAGGTTTGTTGCTTTGTTTTAGTATCCAGAAGCCATGAGTTGTTAACCTTTAGACTTGGTATTATGGATATCGCAACTTTTCGGCCTTGATTTCATTTTAAATACCGTAAAACTGTTAGAAATGTGGCTTTTATGCCTACCCTCGGGAGTGAACCCGGACCACAAGGAGTTCGTCACCCGCTCACCGCGCAATCCGGTTTAGCCAACTACGCTAGAGAGCCGGGGATTTGAACAGGTAAAAACAAGGGTCTCATACTGTGATGCTTCTCTCTT